TGCTGACAATACCGGCATTTTCCTTTTTTTTTTTTTTTATCTAATATGACAAAATGATACCAAATATCGCTCGACGTTCTTTTATTCGGTAGGGTCCACATTTTGTTCTGCAATCTTGAAAAAATACATTAGATGAAAAAAGTTGAAGATTAAAGAGAAATTCACAGATCTTGATTACAAGACATTAGTAAAATAAGTAAATAAATAAAATATAATTATTATTTTACATAAATATTACAGTAATGTTGTACAAAAAGCTAATACCTAATATACATAGTTATATCCTGGCACAGTATTCAAAGAATCGAAATGAAACTCAAAGGAACAATTCCGAGAAAGAGGAAAGAGCAAATAATCAAGACTCCGCAGGAGTCAGATTTGATGCTAGAGCAAGAACGACGAAAAGAGCGAAAAATGAAGACTTAATAGGAATCGGATTCGTGACTAGAGCAGGAGCGATGAAAGAGCGAATAGTACGATTCCGAAGGATCCAGATCTGCAACTAGCGTCGAAGCGTTGATAGCTGAGAATCCGAGGAAATATTTTCTATAATATACGTAGTTTAAAGAGATCCTCGAGATGCCAGGTAGGAAAAAAAACTTAATCTATTTGCAAACAGGGGTGGTCAGTTTCGCTGAGATGCGTTGGTTTATATGATATTTTGTTTTTTATATACTATATGGAACAGAAGCAAACCAAAAACACACATATATACATACATAACACACATACACACATAAAAATAGGTCAGAGACGTTTCCTTTAGATTAATAAAGGAAAGAGTGCTAGTATTTACATTAAGAGGAATCAAATGGTTTTGGCACGCTTTCCAACAACAGTTCTCCGTGAACTGTTAAAGAGCTGCCGTCCCGTTTTTGCCTGAGAGCTGATCATTCGTTCAGCAAAGTGAATCGGTTTTGAGACGGATCATCCACCTCTAGTACTTATGCATTACTATAAAATATTTTGACGCAATTTGGCAATTTTGTACGGATAAAAAAAATTTACTTATCGGGTACAAGTGGATGCTTTTGGGTATGTTCTTAAAAAAGACTCCGAAACAATCGATATTTATCCTAAGTTTGCAAATACGATTAATATATGAAAAGAAAACACTGAATTTAGCAATTGAAAATATCAAATATCAATTTTAATTATTAAATAAGCATTACGTGATGTATTAAAAATAAAACACTTGAATTCTTCTCAAAATCTTTCTGTAATTTTTTTGAGCTATTCTTTCTTTTCAAATACACAGTGGTCTGTTTTCACTTAAATAAACATCAGACAGCTGTGGAGACTTGGCATCGCTCTAACCTCGAAAACACCGGATATATATCAAATGCATCTATTGAAAGCGTTTCGCCCAAATCGTTTAATCCTTCCGCCCTCATTTCTATTCATTAATGGGTATTATGAGAGATAGACCAATTCACATAAACAGTGATATTGTCAAAACCACGGAACATGGGAATACGAGACAATTTGTGACGCAATATATATTCAAAACACAGTGTTTGCTTTACAAGATTATTTCCTTGCGGACGAAGCGGTTAAGTTTCTAATAAAGTAGAGTAAACAAAGTCCGAAATATTCGCGAGATGCATTCAACTAGTATTACAACCTAATATCTCAAATTTAACAAGTAGCCAACATTTGTAATGTAGGTAGGGCAAATAAGCTTAACTTCACTGTAAAATTTCATCGCACGACCTAATAGGATAACAGCTGAATTCAGGCTTAGTGTAATTTAGCAAGAAGTTAGTACAGCTGCAAATCCATTCGCATTTTATACAGCGGAAATTTCATGTACGAAACTAGAACTGACAGTGACCGTTATACTTTTGTAACTGGGAAAGCATAATTGTGTTAGTTCTCAGTTTTTCACCACTATGTTATTGCTGTTGATTTAGCAATCTAAATTTAAATATTTTTCTTTTTTTGAAAATACAGTTTCAAAATTTAATGAAAAAAATAACAATTTAAAAAAGGTTTTTATACAATAAGCTTTTATTTAAAAATGATAGGATAATTAGTGTACTAAAGAGAGGAAATAAGCTGGAATGCAGTTTAATGGGAAAATTAGATAGATTAAATAATTCTATTATACATTTAACAGTGCAATTAATGTAATAGATTTCGTTTTTTAGGAGCCTTTATTAATTATAATTTTAGACTCGGAATAAAATTTATTTGAAACATTATTTTTTTATCTTTCTCGTGGTGCAAAAAGAGAAATTCTGCGGCGATTTATTTTGTTTGATAAGTGAGGTTACGTGTCGAAAAAGAGTAAAAATTGCTTCAATGTTAAATAAAAGTATCTGACTGTATATTACAGACCCTGAAGCTTTCCGCCTGTGCTGTGTCCTGTAGTACACACAAACAGTACAGACACAGACAGAAAACACACAGACAGAATCTTCACTTTTATAGATTAACTTAACAGAAGTTGTTCTGTTTAGCCCAAAGGAGCGTTAGTCCAGAAGGTCTGTTAGCTTCAAAACGGCATTTTGTGTTGAATCACACTGAAAGTCTGGACCACTTTTCAAAATTTTGCCACCAAATATTATTTCCCTGTATTATATTTCAAAAATTAAATAATGAAGAATCTGCATGAGTACATTTGCATGGTAAAAGAATAACGGTACCTAAGAGGCATCAAAATTTGAATGCCGTAATCTTCCACTCGATGGGCACCTGGAAGCCTGACTTTTGAATTTTTAATTTGTTTTATTATCCATTTGATATTTTTTAAATCTTTAAGGAATTTTCGATTAACAAACTCAACGATTTCAAAGCGTGCAATGGCAACACGGGTCGGAAAAATAAATTTTATAGCCGGCGAGTGAGACTGTCTATCGGAAATTCTAAAGATAAGCTGCTTTTAAATATTTTATGATGCTGCTGTTGAATTGAATTTATGTTATTTAAGTGCGAAGAACATGATATTTAATGAACAAAGGTAACATATAAAACGTTAAAAAACACTCCTTTAGGCGCACTTTTTTCTTCTTATTTTTATTATTCCTCGTTTCTCTTAGGTGTTTACAAGCTTTTAAAATATGACATCGCACATCTTGATGAACTAAAATCAGAAACAACAGTTGCTACAAACGCTAGAATACAAAACTTCAAAGGTTTAAAGGTATTTTCTTTCTCTTTGCAGCGTGCCTTCTTGTTGCAATTGGAAGTACATCTGGCCAGCTATCGGAAGGTCCGCGCTGGAGAGAGTAATGCTGAGTTATTATGCCCTGTGATATGAAAAAATAAAATTCTAAATGACTCTACAGTTGGCACTCGAACTAAAAGGTGGAGAACGATAATTCGTTACCATCAGGATTTGGATACTGTATTCATTCTTTCCTAGTCACCCTTTAAGAGAAGTTTCCACTCTCCTTACCGTGTGCATTGTAAGTACATCCGGCTAGCAATCGGAAGCTCCAGATTTCGAATCCCGACGAGGGCATTACGCATTTTTCATGTTCCCTGATATCAAAAATTCTAAATGATTCCATAAGCAAGCTTGAAGGAGATTGAAGCAGATTTGAACAACCGATGCTTCTTCCAACTCGTAGATATAGATCTTGGCAGTAATCGGTTTCTCTTGTCAAGAGCTTTCAAATTTATACTAAACATTTCAAACTTTTACGACTCGAATTAATTTAAAAGCTAGAATTCACTGGCAAATTCTTATATATTTGAATTTTTACAGTAACACGAAAGAGGTGCACATCCATTTGAAATCAAAGCAAAATTTCACTTTAGATTCACGTTGTTTTTATGAAAGGTCTACGTAATTTTGTGAAGAGTCTGTCGAAAACATTGCGACAAAACTCTCTTAGGGAATAAAAAGCAAGGAGAAAATATCGTAGTTCTAAATTATCGTGGTATAAAAACATCGTCCGAAAAAATAAAGCGGATCAAAAAACTTCGCAATTTTGTAAAAGATCAGTGTAGAAAATATCATGGTTTCTTACAAATAACATCGCAGATAACACAGCAAACACGTATTTTCAGACTTTAAAAGTTTAGAAAGCATGTTTTCACTACCAATTCAGCTAAGTTTAAAATTCTGTTAACTGTTATACGCAGCATTCCTTTATTTTAATTTTCGGTTTCCTCCTTTCTTTCTCAGTAAATATTTACTATTAAATTCAAAACTAAGAAATGTAGAGGTAAAAATATTTCTAATTCTTTTTCATGCTCCCAATTCATCATACAAAAATACATTTAAAGTGTGTTAAAGTTTGTAAACATTTACAGGTAGAAGTGGATGGTAACCCAGAATTTCACCATTGGTCGTTCAGGCGTAGTAAGTCGCACTTCACTAACTGCGCAGTTCCGCCCGATTTTGAGGTAGAATACTTCAGGAAACGGTCCGAGTGTCTCCCACCCCTCTTCGTCTCCCAGCAAACATTCGAAAGGACTTGCGGCTCGCCGGAAATTTTGAGTATCCCTTTGCAGCACAGACTCTATACGCTTACAAACATCCATGTGTTCCCCGTGTTTCGAACCCGAGCCTGTCGGTACGGCAGTCAGCGTCACTAACCACTACACCGGATAGGCGGGAAAGTCTGTAAACGCATGGCTGCAGTGCTATGATGATTCATGCGATAATTTGTAGGTTTTTATTTTTCATCCTGATATATTTTATGACGATGTTTTAAAACTGCGAAGATTTGGAACTGCTTTCTCTTCTATGATGTTTTGTATCACCATGTTTCAGAACTATGATGCTTTCTCTTTGCTTCCTTTTCTCCCATGATGTTTTATATGACGACGTTTTCCACTTGCGTTGTTTCCTTTGCGAATATTTCAGCATTTATCTTTCGAGATAGTGCCTCAAATTTTTTTTTACGAAGGAGCAAAACTAAATCCCCTATTGGTTCATATCTAATCTGACTGCAATCACAAATCGTTTATTGGATACATTAAGAAGAAATGTCTGTAATTATAAATCATAAAGTTAAAAATAACAGTAAAATTAAAAATATTCTCACTTGAGCTAGTTGTAAGCAACATAACGATTTCTTTTCTTTTAACAAATAGCAGAGAGTTGGACTAACCCCAACATAGGGCGAGACAGGTGGAAAACCTTTCACAATTCTGTAAAGAAAAAAAAACATTATTAATATAAGATGTAAAACTATATACAATAAAACAAAGTAAATACAGAGTTTTCAGTGTTTAGAGGAGAAATTTCCAAACATTTTTGATCTCGTACCCCTAAAACAAAAATAATTATAACTTGTACTCTGTGTAATGATATATAATGCGTTGCGATCCTGTACGATCCAGACTGATACGATACAGTAAAATGCAATATGTATGGGCTTTAAAACTGGTTCAGATTTGATCTTGAGCTCTCCAGACGCTAATGAAACCATACCATGCACCTTATAACAGTAAGCAACCAGACACTCACGGGGTATACAATCAAAAACTCATAAGGGATCCTCAGCCTACTTCTTTGGCGTACTGCGCTTTAGAGACTATTGCTTTAGAGGATAGTGTTTAGAACAGGGTTTCTGAACCTAATCGGAATTTCATATTTTCAGGGGGAAGTAAAATTAGCCTTATATTTAGTTGTTAAGTGCTTAGGTTTAGTTTATGAGTATAAAAAACTACTTTTATTCAAGATTTAGCATTTATCAAAGTTTTCTTTACTTTTTGTTGTTTAATTTATAGTTATTAAATCATGTTAGAAAATAATCTAAACCCAAATAAATGCATACATGTAATTTTTAAGTTCTGGTGTTCCAGCACTAGGGAAAGCAGTACATTGGGCATAAAAATTTGAGAACCACTGGGTTTGGAGATATTTATAATTTGTGAAGTTTTGTAGCTGAAGTTCACTAAACGAGGCCATGACTAATAACAAATTAATAGTAAATTATTTTTTAAAACTTCCGCATTTCTTTTCTGGCCTCTGGGAACATATGTGCGAATATACTAAATTTGGTACTTGTGTATTAACGTAATCACAGTGGCACAGTTGGGCGCTCTTTCACAAACGAAAAGGCAAAAATTACGCGTCGGATACAAGTTGACGAAATTTGCTTCCATTTTTTACAAAGCTATGTGCAGATTCCGGCTTCAAAGTTATTTCTAATTGTCATGGAACTTAACAGGAAATATCGGGTTCAGCAGCAGGCACCGAAAAACATTTTTAACAGTTAGATGTGAATAAAGGATTCTTTTCACTTTTTATTTCTGTTGCAGAGAGAGAGAATCTCTTCTCTTCTCTTAATTAGAAGCTAGCCACGGAGACCCGGAAAGGACATGTGTTTTGAAAAAGACCTCTTAGGGGTGAGTGTCCAAAAACCTCGAAGGGAAGGTTAAAATTTATTTCGTTCTGGGGGAAACGGAGTTGGCGGCTTTTTTTAAACAAATGCATTGATAGTGATGGTTCGGAAAAGGCTGTGGGAGATTACAGATGGACAGATTAAGAAGTGAGGCGTGGTTGCGTCAGAAGGTGGCGTTTAATTAATTATTAGGTCTAGATTTAAGTTGGAAAATTTAATCGAAATAATGAAGCTTCTTTTCCTTTTCGGGACCTTCAACTTGTCTTGAGTTGGATGAGAAGTTAGCGAAAATGAAGAACATGAAAAAAAGAGAGAGAATGCAGGTGATAACTGTGGAAAGGTGGATAGTATTTTGAGATGCAAAAAGTGGAGATGACTGGAAACACATTTTAGTGGAGATGACTTGAGGAGACAGAGAGATAAAGATTCCAGCCAAACGCTGATGAAAGTTTTCCTGTTTACCGACGTAAGAAATGATGACTGGCTGTGGTTATTAATTTAGGGTTGACGAAAGAGAAGAATGTGAACGAAAAATCTCCTGAAAAGGGAATGCTAAGATCTGTTGTGGGGTTCTGGTCTCGACGTGTGTATACCGAATTTTATAATTTGTGAAGTGATGATCAACTGAAACTCTGTCTTCAGGATTATTCCTTTATGAGCGAAGGAAATAGAAAAAGGTGTGCCAGGAATAGAAAAAGGTGAAATAGAAAAATTCCCAATTTAGCCATTTGGAACATTTGCTTTCGGCAGCGACTGTGGATGTGCCGTATTCCAAGTGTGGTCTTCCTTTTTCCGAAGTATTGTACAAAGACTGTTCCGGAGTCGTAGAATATCGGCTTCTGGTTCCCACTGATGATGTTCAGCTATCCAGGCATTGTGCTCCCGATTTACAATGTATTATAAAAGGACTATTCTGAACTGATATTTAGCGTCATAGAGTAAACAGCTCCTTTTTACCAACAATATCGAACTATGTGAAGTATTGTAAGGACTGTGTTAAGGACAGATTTCAGGATCTCGGGATGTTATCCTTCAGCATAGCATAAGTTTGTTTAGATCCGAATATCCAAAGTCAGCAGTGAGGTAACTTTAACATGTAAAATGGTGCTTAAGGACTTGTGTAAAAATGAATAGTTTTGTAGCGATGAATATGCGCTTATTTAGGATTTTGCTTTTTGTTCTCAACAGTACAGGAATTGTAAATGTAATTAGATAATCGAACCTTGGGTTATGGCAGATGTTCGTCTGGAGATAAGGAAACAATTTTGTATGATTATCAAATTTTTGGCACTTAATTACTGCACCACCTAGAAAAGCCTTCAACGAAAACAAATTCCAAACTATCGCATATTTATCGTAAGCTGGTAAAACATTATCAATATATTAAAAGAAAAACATTTTAAAATTTTATAATAGGAATTTAAATTATTAAATAAAAGATTATATAACACATTAAAAAATAAAACACATTTTCCGCGAAATTCTCTGTTTCTTTACTCTGTTCCTTTTAGCGCCATGTATCCAACGATCTGTTTTCGCTTAAAAATCCTTAGAATTCCACAAACTTGGCACTGCGCACCGGTTATTTATCAAACTCAAAAAACGAAACCCGTTAATTGAGTTGCATTGTCCCATATACATGTAAGACGTTAGCTTTTTAAATTTATCATAGGTGCTCCCCGCCTATGTTATTCGCGATGCAAAATTGATAAATGAATTCAATAAACAGATTTGTTGAATCTATTATTTCTATTAAATTATATAATAAATTATTTTTCTTTTTAGTGCACTAAATAAAAGATTATTACATATTTTTTTTTAAAATTCTATTTTATTTTGTGCTTTTTAGCCTCAGTTGCGTGATACCAATTAAAAAACGCTTATAAGAAGCGAATATCGCGATTTCGACATTAAATGCACAGAGATGGCTTACAAAAAGGCAATGTTTTTTACAAACAGTTTAATTTCTCCGTTTGCTTCCGTCTCCAACTCATTTTATAAAACAATGTAAAAAATATCTAATTAATAATTTGTCATTTGTGTGTGCAAGAATTCAAACACGATATCTTACCACGAAGTAAAACATCGATGGGAAAATTTCATTCACAGTGAAATACCATGGGTGAACTAAATAAAAGTTAATAAAATACATTAATTCTGATGTTTTTAAAATTATGAAGAAACCGATTCTTCCAAAAAATACAAAATAGACAAATTTAATAACTAGGTTTATGACCAAAGGAAAAAATATTATACAATATTTTAAACATCTGTTACAAATAATGTTAAATTTTGTTGTTTGCTCAGTCTAATCCTAAAAGAAATTGAATTCTAACTTTTTTAATCCTATGCTTAAGGAAAAGAAAAAAAATGCACTTCCCTCAGTCTGTTGATTCTCTGTATTATTTCCCGAATTCCAAGCCTTTTTCGATAGCAGAACATGCATTGACACTTACAAATGCCTCTGAATGTTCGAATTTGGAATTCCACTTAGCAAAGGAGACGTAGAATTTTCGATAAATCGCATTTCTTTGAGTAAAATAAAACACCATTTTGCTACTTTTGTTTGCTCTCATTTTACATTTGCTTTCAAAGCCAAACGCTTTTACTGTGAGGCTTATTCGTTTCTCTCAGCTTTCTCAGAATACATTGAAAGTACCAACAGAATTTTGACAAAAGTGTTTGCAATAGGCGCCTTTTAATGTGATCACGTCTTTTCACAGCTATTTTGATAACAATAAAAGAATGATAACTTTAAACAATGAGAAAGAAATGCCCTTAAAAATAGCAACGGAATTTGACTAATTTAAATAACTATAAATAACTGTAATTTTGTGAAACTCTCTTCAGCACATTCCATTATCATTGTCCAACAGTGTGTGTGCAAAATTCAAACACGATATCTTACCACGAAGTAAAACATCGATGGGAAAATTTCATTCACAGTGAAACACCATGGGTGAACTAAATAAAAGTTATTAAAATACATCAATTCTGAGGTTTTTAAAACTGATGACAAAAGTGTTTGGAATAGGCGCCTTTTAATGTGATAACGTCTTTTCACAGCTATTTTGATAACTTTAAGCAATGAGAAAGAAATGCCCTTAAAAATAGCAACGGAATTTGACTAATTTAAATAACTAGTAATAACTGATAAATTAACTAATAATCAGAAGCACACAGGCAGTTTCACAGAATTTTAATTAAGAAAATGCAAGCCTTTGCTTATAAACTATTTATAATGTCTTTAATGCAAAAATTCATTTTTGAACTCTTCAAAATGCTTTTAGGAATTATATAAGCGATACTTTACCTCTAATTTTAATACTCGAAGGGCAAACCTCATTCGAAGAGAACATTCAATGTAAAATTTAAAATTAAGCAAAAAAGCAACTTTAGTTTGACCCAGATGTTTCCAGAGAAATTTTTTTAGGGAAAAAAGAAATTCTGAAGAAATTGTTTTATTTTTGAAGAAGAGTGTCTGATCGCCCTCATCTTTAGAATTATTCAAAATCTTCGTCAAAACTACAGTACATAAAGTTTTAACTTTAAATGGTTGATTAAAATCTAATCCATTGGAATTTGGCGACTTAAATTCCTTACTTGGCGACATTTCTCTGTTACAGAGCAATTTTATAACTATTTTAACTTTATTTGGCGATTTTACTTCAGTTTAAAAAATTCATTCTGTAATATTTCGATCCTATAAACTGAATTTTAGATCACACTATGCGATGTATTTTCCATGTTTTCGTACATCAGCAATTCGTTGCCAATATTCGAATGATAACATTAACCGCG